AAATTAGATCAGCCTTTCCAATGTATAAAGTTTTATTATGTAAAACCAAAAGAGAATACTTATTCTTACAGGGACTCAGATATGACGGAGCATAGTCATTTGTTGAACTGACTGTGGACAGCAGCCAGGAAACTGTGTGGTGGTATAAGACAGAAAGGGCACTTTCACTGTCAGCGCAAGATGACATTGCTGAAATGCCAGAGACCAGGCGTAATTAAGTGGGCTGATGGAACAGAATGACTATGAGATGACTTTTAACTGATATTAATTCATGTTTATATACACATTTTCCATGTCCACATGCATACTCTGGCATATATGGACTAGATTATATACATATTTCAAAAATTACATTAAAACATTCTTTTCAAATCATTTTCATCTAGTATACAAATACCATCTAAAATATGAATAAATTGCAGGCCTATATTGGTATGTATGTTAGTTAATTATATTGCAACTTTAAAATAATCTGTTAGATAATAGGTAATTGTCATTAAACTAATCACTAAATATATACTGGTTGAGCCTGGGCATTGTGCTAGGACCCGGGATACAGTAATGACCTAGGCAATAAGAAATACGAATAAAAGAATAGAGGCAGAAGGAGAGGGACAAGGAGGAGGGAGAAGAAAGGAGAGTAGGAGAGAAGGCAAGTAGAGGGAGAAAAGAAGATGCCCACACCAGGTTCCCAAAGCTGGAGTCTAATGCAACACTTAATTTAGTGCAATGCAATAATTAATAATAGAAATAGGTACCATTTGTTGTCCACTGTGTACTAAGCATGGTAGTAGGCACTTTATTTCTTAGGACAAACAATGAGAAGTAACTGGAAATCTAAAGGAGGAGTGTGGTATCATTTATGTTTTTAAAAGACACATCTGATGATGGCGTGAAAAACAAATTACAGAGGAGAAAGGATGGAAGCAGGAGAGCAGTGGCTGCACTACATTGGTAAGAAGATTTGGGATATATTTTGAGACTGGAGGTGTCGAGATTTGCTGACGGGTTGGGTGTGGAGCATAGGGAGTTTTAGAATGACTTCTAGATCAAAGCTTGAGCACCTGGAGGAATAGAAGTTGTGTTTATTGAGAGAGTGAAGGCCAGTGGAGGAAGGTTTGGATGAGGGAAATGAGATGTTCTATTCCAGCCATGCTAAGTTTGAAAAGGGGATTAGCTATCCAACAAGAGAGGCTAAGTAGGTGGTTGGATAGGTAGTCTTGAAGTTTAGTGAAGAGGCCAGGGCTGGAGAGAAAATTGGTTCTTATATTAGTTCCTTTGACTTTAATCTTCTGTTCCTTATTTCATCTACTTAGGATAATATCTCTTAAGTCGGCATGTTAATATTAGCACCCTTATCTTCTACTTCTCATCTTCTGTCAACTGTATATCTATTTGCTTGTCAAGGCTGATAACATAGTTCTGTTTTGTAACCATATTCAAATTTTCCATATTGTGTTTATAGATTGAGGCTCAAAGTTGAGACCTGCTAAGTAGCATTTATAGTATAATTGAATTTTGTTTACTAATGGTCCAAATATTGTTCCAGGACTACATTTCTTTCTCAGTGTGTCCAATGCTCAGTGCCACTGGAAAAACAAGAATTGAGTGTCCATGTCAAATAAATCCTCTTTTCTAGGTTAAAAAATTATTTCCCCTGAGAACACTGAAGGTGTCAACTACATTGTGCTCTTCTCTCCGTGATGCTTGATTCCATATTGATATTTATTCCTTAGATGATGACTTATTTTTCTTTCTCTTTAGGGAATCTTCTCTTTATGATTGTTATTTTGCAATTTCATAGTGTTTTCTAGGTAAGTTTTTCTTCTTCATACTTTGAAGCACTGAGCAGACCCTTTTAATACCTCTTTTATTTTTCTCTTTTTCTAAATTGTATTTTTTCCACTACCATTTATCCCCTTTCATCACACTGTTTGTCCATGTCCATGAGTTCTTTAATGCCTCTCTTATATTGGGAAACTTTCTTGTGTAGAGCACTGGTTACTATTACTACAGGTACTGGAGTCAGACTGACTTCAAATACCAATTGTTTGTGGTATATCTTTGGGCAAGTTACTTAAATTCTGTGTTTGCTTTTTATCTCAAAAATGAGAGTATTAACTGTATTACTATACTATTCTATAGGGTTTGTGTGAAAATTGAGTCGATATTTAGAAGTTCCATAAACGTCCCAGCAAGTAGTATGTTCTCAATGAATGTATTATATTGTTACCCGACAGCCTTGTACTGCTCCAGAACAGCCAGTGGGGTCCTACCACTCGCTGCCCATAGGCAAAAACTCTGGAGATGGAGTCTAGTGGAAAGAAAAAAGGAATCTCTTATTTAAAGTATACACAGCTTGAAATAATGGCAGGTTTCTGCCTCAAAGCCCATTTCCTTTAAAATGCCTCAAAGAAAATTACCCTGCCACCCTCTGCCAGCTCAGTTCAAGGTTGCACCAAGAACCTCTCCTGCCACCCAAAGTACCATCCTTTTCATCCTTCAGAGTATGTGCGCGCTCGCGGCATGCTGTCCTCTTCCTCCAGTCGCTGCTAAGCCCCATCCCACACAATAGTGCAGTGGGTTGAGGCCCTGCCTGGGCAGGAGCTGGTGGAGTGGCCGTGATGGAGGAAACTGCCGTTGTGCCGTTGTCGAGGGCCCGGGCTGGAGGAGTGTGCGGGTGATGGGCGGGCACTGTCGCGGTGCCTTCTTGGCAGTGAGACACTGACCCACGGGGAGGGGCATGGGGCCTGCCACTGACAGGCCCACACAGGGAGCAGGTCCCAGAGGCTTGGGAAGGGGCGCGGGGAATGCTGCCAGATGACCCGGTTCCTCCAAGGCCCACCGGTTCAGGAGCCTGAGCCCCGTCCTCTGGCACCGACCAACCAGCCAGGAGAGGGAAGAGCAGAAGGTTGCATTTTCTGCGCACTCGCTTTTAAAGACCCCCGATAAATCCCCCCTGCAGTGGAAGTAAATGGAAGGGCATGTCCCCTCCATCCAATCACCTCCCTAGCTCAAAGCGTCAGCCCTTTGTGCTTTTCTGTTGAGTCAGGTGTGCGTCGTCCCAGTTGCTGGGCACACGCAGTCTTTGGTACTTGGCCAGCCTTCCCCATGGGGGGCAGGGGGTGGTCTCCCCTGTTACAGTGCTGATAATTATCTCACCTTCAAGTTCTACTCTTTTTATTCCTGGAGCTCCAGAGCAGTTGGACCTTCCAGACTGATTCTCCATTTTGTTTTTATTCTCTCATACTTTCTAGTCTTTTGTTGTCATTCTTTTATGCTCTGTGATATTTCAGATAACGCTCTGGTCCTCCCCACCCCCTTTTCCCTCTGGTACACCTGTTGATGGAGTCTAAAGATACTTAAGGGTTTTGTCAGGCACATTGGCTCACGTTTGCTGCATCTCTTTCTATATGTTCTAGGCTATTGCTTCTTTGCTCTCTTTTATCCATTAACAGGCTTCCATTTTTCCCACATTCCAGAAAGCTCTTTATTCCATTCTCTTTACTCTTATGGATCAACTGATTTATTATCATTTAATAGGGTCTTGGGAGGCCAGGGATTTAGATACAGTTATACCTCGGTACGCGTTGGCTTCAGAACTTGTCAAACTCTGTACTCGTCGCATTATGAGGAGAAAAAAAATGTTTCAGGACTGGGTGCTTGCTTGGGACTCATGGCACTTGCTAGAACTTGAGAGTTACGCCACACGCTGCCAGAGCAAATGCTTCATCAGTTCCAACTCTTTGGTTTCGGCACTCGTCAAGAGTTTCAGAATGAATGAACAATGAGTACCGAGGTATCACTGTATTTGCATTCAGTTTACTGTCCTAAATCAGAAGAGGAAACATTGTTACTTTTGTAAACCAGATGCTCTTGTTATTGGTTATCTAATAGTTGGCCCTCTCCCTTAACTACCACCCTTGAGGAGCTAATGATACTGAATATATGACCATTTGTCCTGACCTTCAATCTAGCTGCCTTTTGTATGCTTAAATAGACTGGCCAGATCAGAGAGGCCAGAAGGCTAAAATTAGTGAGGTACTCTTGACCTCTAAAAGTAATTCTTTGTTGTCTACTGTCGTGTTTAGAAAATTTGAAGTTTAGCTTATGAAATTTGGAGCGAGTGAGGACCAGACTGGGTACTCAATAAACACTTTCTGTTTCTACTTAATCCTGCATTTATTTAAGGTTTGCTAAATCCTAATCCAGAAGTAGAAACGACTAGGACATGGGTTTAAAAACAGATACAACTTGAATAAATGTGAAAGACTAAGTTTATTATAATGGCATGATCAGGGAAAACAAATTTTAAATTTGAAAATGTTTTAATAGTGTGTGTAATAGTATGAGTATTTCCTAAATTAAGTTTTGTGGGATATCAGGCATGTGAGATGATATCCTGAAAAATGGTGAAGTGGTCAGTAAGTGGGAAACAGCATTCTGTATTCCTCTTCTTGGAAATTCCTTATGTTTATGCTTAGAACAAAGGTTTTAAGAGCTCTGTAGTCAAATATATATATAGATATATTTGATAATTATCTCACCTTCATCACCTAAATTCAGCTTTTGCAAAACTTACTTAACCACTTTCCCTATTTTTTTGAGCATCTATAAACATAGGAAAAAACCCCCCAAAAAACTAGTGCCCCTCAGACTAACTTTGAGAAATACTGCCTTATAGTATTGCCTACTATTTGATTAGTTACAATTTTTTAAATTTGGTGGCAATAAAGAACAGAATTCTACTAAGTTTCTCACTTGGAAGCTGGTGTTTAATGATCAGTACAATTTTACTATGTTATAGTAAATGTGTTTGGAGATACGCTGTCCACCAGGAAGGGATAAAGAACAAACTTGTCAAGGGCTGCACTGGTTGTTTATTTTCAACTCCTGTAGAGAAGGAATTTTCTCTGGAGGTGCCAGCAGATCTAATACATCTTAAGTTGGAAGGAATGACCTGGGACAATAGAGAAGAAGTTTTACCACTGCAATCTTACCTATTCCACAAGAAGGCTTTTGCAACTTGCTGTGTTTGACTGGCAAAACCAATGGACATGTTGGTTTTTGAAAGTCACTCCTCTGGGTGCTTTTAGTATCAAAAGGTGGTTGGAAGTGGTGTTCCAGTCCTTTATCATATGACCACCAGGCACCCTTTATGGAAAAAAATCAGAAACACAAAATTGGATACTGTAGGACATTTTTGTGTGCTGCTTGATGTCTTTGAATGTTCAGCAATTTGATTCAACAAGGCATGGATATTCTAAAACATAGTTCTAAAATCTAGGAACATATTTTCACATGTTTCTTAAAAGACACCTGAAAATGAAATATATATTTTTAGTTAAAATACAGATGCTAAATTCTTAAACTACCTTCTATTAACAGATGGAATAATAAAATCAATTAAAATATTTATATTTCTATTTTATACAATTTTATTATATATGTACACATGCATGCATATATATATTAGCCAAGATTTAATCTAAAAATTATGTTCTATACTTTCCATTATGATAATACAAATAATATATTATCATCTAAAATGGTGATTTTCAAAGTTTTTTGTCCATGATTGACACCATGAAATATATTTTTATATTGTTATACAAGAGCACACAATGCATACATACACATACAATTCAAATAGTATCACAAAAACAATACTTACTCCTACTACATGCAGTGCAGTTGGCTATTTTTCTATTTATTATTATTATTTTTTTTTTTTGCTTTTGTCTTCTATTTTACAATGCCTGTTGCAAACCACAGAGTTTTCTGGCAGGGGGTGGGGAATTCTGTGGGAGCAAGAAATCAATGAGAGGCTAAAAGTTTGGAGAAGTACATTCTTCAGAGCTTAAAGTCAGAGCTGCTCAACTTTCAGTTCTTTGGTAAGGAAATTCTCTTCAAACTGAAAAAGATGGGATGAACATGCATAGATGAAGAGAGAGTTAGACCTCACTTTGCAACTTTAAATGAGGGCCAGCTGTTAGGACAATGACAAATTGTAACCAGAAGTAAAGAATAAGTTTGCAGAGATCAAAGAAATTTAGGAAGTAGGGAATTTTGGAGAATAGGAGAGAACAGCTGCCTTATTTTTCAGAATGGGTTAAAAGGTGAGTTCCAAAAAAAACCCCCAAACCCTACTTGATGTAGATCCTAGGAATTCTAGAGCAGATTCCTAGACAGATAGTGACTGCTCGCTATCTGGCTGAAAATAGTCACGTTTTATTATTGTCAGCATGCCTGGTTTTTGCAGCTCCATGATCATGATAGTGCTTATTTTAGTGCCCAGGGATCTAGGATGCATAGCCCTTCTCTCACTCTCGGACACAGTCCCACGAGGTAGGTACACCCACTTTACAGGTGAGGAAACTGCTGGCAGATTAGGTACCTTCGCCAAGGTATACCACCAGCAGGCAGGAGAGCTGCCACAGCTCAACCCCTCCCACCTGTGCAGGCCTTTAATTTCCGTGCCACGTGGCTGTGTCCAATCTGCTATGGAATGCAAAGCCAGAGGAGCACAAACTTACTTAAATTATTTCAAACGTAAAAATAAAAGGGCGCCACGTGAGTATCCTCAGAAAGATCTACTATGATAAGGTTTGAAGGACTTGCACTTTATATCATCTTCTTATTTTGATTAGAAACTTATTTTGCTAATATGTAATAACTGGGAAAGTGGCCCTGGGATAAGTGAACCACTAGGAACTGCCTGGCAAATTTCAATTTCTTTTCCCTCAAACAGGAGTGTAATGCAAAAACTACCTTTCAAATAGATACTCATTCGACTTTCAAGAAGAATTCTTTTGAATTTAGAATTTTAGCAAAATGGTCTCTTGAGTTTCACAAAGGAAATAGTGAACACTGTTTCCTAAAATGTGATTGAGGACTTTAAGACCCCATAGTTGGTGAAAATTTCTAATTAATATTGTAAATTGGATAGATTTTTATTTCAGCAGGATGAAATTCTATAGTTCAGAAAATGTTTTTATCGTTTCTATTTCTGGATAGTGTGCCCTCTCCCTGAAAAGTCTGGTTTGTGCTGGAAAAGTGAGTGTGTATATGCACCATACACATGTGCTTGCCTTTTTGGGCCCAGCATTTGCTTATAAGAGATTATAAGATTGAAGATATAGGTGGAGGCTTTTTGTCCCCTTTACCTCATTCTAAAAAGAAAGACTAAAAATTTACTGCTCTGTCTACCATCTGTCTAGGCTTTGGGGGTCAGACCACACTGGCAGATGGTAGAGTGGGTTTTGTCTAAAACAGATAGTTGTTCCCAGTTCAAATCTTTGAACCCAGCCCTGGCTGGTGTGGCTCAGTGGGTTGAGAGCCAGACTGCTAATTCAAAGTCCGCTGGTCACTTTCCTGGTCAGGGCACAGATCTGGGTTGCAGGCCAGGTGCCCAGTTGGGGGTGTACAAGAGGCAGCCATTGATGCTTCTCTCACACATCAATGTTTTCCTCCCTCTCTTTCTCCTTCCCTTAACCTCTCTCTAAAAAAATTAAATAAAATCTTAAAAACAAACAAACAAAAAAACACGTCAGAACCAAAGATAGAAAGAAGTCCTCCCTTCCAACCCAAGACCGGTCTCCTTTCCTGCCCCAGGATGACAGTCTTTCGGGTTCCGTGGTAGAGAGATGCCTGGAGATTCCCAGTGATGAGGCTCCCATTAACCCCTGGCCCCTGGGAGGCCTAACAACCATTGCACTATGAATCCCTTAGTCATATTTGGAACCCACTGTGAAGCAGCCTCTGTGATATACTTGTGTTATCTCTAAGCCTTTAGAAATGCATTAATAAACATTACTTATTTTCTATTCTTTGGGAAATTAAGGGGGAACCCTCAGGAGATAAGTAGTAAAAGAAAGTGAGACATCCTGGAGAAACCAGTTAAAAGGAGCAAGAGGTGGGAAGTCGAGCCCTATAGCAGCAGCCACAGTGGCTGGGCCAGGACAGCTGCTGGTGGCGGTGAGGCGTGGAACATAACACCACACTTGAGGATTCCTAGGAAAATATGGCCTTTTTTAAAAATCATTTTTTATTTTTCAATTACACTTGACATACAATATTGTATTAGTTTCAGGTATATACCCTAGTGATTAGACATTATATAACTTGCTAAGTGATCATCCCAATAAATCTTGTACCCATCTGGCACCCAACATAGTTATTAGAATATTATTGACTATATTCCCTATGCTGTACTTTACATCCTTGTGACTATTCAGTAACTACCAATTTGTAGTTCTTTATCCCTTCACCTTTTTTGCCCATTCCTCTAACCCCCCTCCCATCTGGCACATATCAAAGTGTTTGTTTTCTCTCTGTATCTATGAGTCTGTTTCTGTTCTGCTTGTTTGTTTATTTTATTTTTAGATTCAATGGTTGATAACTATGTATTTATTGCCATTCTATCGTTCATATTTTAATCTTTTTTTTCCTTCCTCTTAAATAAGACTCTTCTAATGTTTCATATAATACTGGTTTGGTAGTGATGAACTCCTTTAGCTCTTTCTTGATTGGGAAGCTCTTTATATATCCTTCTAAATAATAGCTTTGCTGGGTAGAGTAATCTTGGTTGTGGGTTCTTACTTTCATTACTTTGAATTTTTCTTGCCAGTTCCTCTGATCTACAAAGTTTCTGCTTGGAAATCAGCTGACAGTCTTTTGGGAGCTTCCTTAGAGTTAACTAACTTCTTTTCTCTTGCTGCTGTTAATATTCTTTGTCTTTAACCTTTAGCATTTTAATTATGGTGGGTCTTGGTGTGGGCCTCTTTGGATTCATCTTGTTTGGGACTCTGCACATCCTGGGCTTGTATGTCTATTTCCTTCACCAGTTTATGTAAGTTTTCTGTCATTATTTTTCAGATAGGTTTTCAATTCCTTGCTCTCTCTCTTCTCCTTCTGGTGCCCCCATGTTGCTAATGTTGGTATGCTCGAAGTTGTGCAAGAGGCTTTTTACACCATCCTCATTTTTCAAAATTCTTTTTTCTTTTTTGCTGTTCTGATTGGGTGTTTTTTGCTTCCTTATATTCCAAATTGGCTGTTTTCATTCTTGGCTTCATCTACATTACTGTCGATTTCCTGTAAATTATTCTTTATTTCAATTAGCGTGTCCTTAATTTCTGACTGGATCTTTTTTAGGCTCTTGAGGTCCTCACTAAGTTCTTTGAGCATCCTTATAACTGGTGTTTTGCACTCTGCATCTAGAAGATTGCTTGTCTCCATTTTGTTTAGTTCTTTTTCTGGAGTTTTGTCCTATTCTTTCATTTGGATATGTTTGTCTCCTCATTTTAGCAGCCTCCCTGTTTTTGTTTCTATGTATTAAGAAGAGCTGATATGTCTCCCAGTCTTGGTAGAGTGGCCTAGTGTAGCAGGTGTCCTATAGGGTCCAGTGACACAGCCTCCCCATTCACCTGAGCTAGACACTCCAGGTGTGCCCCCTAACTCCCATGTGGGCTGTGTACACCATCCTGTTATAGTTCAGCCTTGACTGACATGTAGCATGTCAATATGAGGGATTTTCCCCAAGCTGACTGGCTACAAGGACTGGCTGTGACTACTGTGGATGATCAGCTGTGCAGGGGCCCACCCCACAGAGTAGGACTTAACTTCAGTGGGGCTCTGGTGTCCACTGAGTCTGTCCCTTGAATGTGTCTCTTGTGGAGGTGGTTGAGTGGTACTTTGACACGGTCTGAAGCTGTCCATTGGGTACTTTGGCTCTGGGGCCTCCCAGTAGGTGCAGGCCAAGGTCAGCTGCCACCTGTATTCTGCCCTGGACCAGCTGGTATGAGTTACAAACCAGTCTGCAGATGGCTGCTACTGCTACTTGTGCTGGACTTGGAGGTGCCCAGGAGAGGCTAAGCTGCAAACAAAGGGCAAGGATGGCTGCCACTAGTTCTGGGCCTGGGGCCACTTCATGAGAGGTATGAAGCCAGATGCTGCTTGAGAGATTTTAGGAAAGTCTGAAGCATGAACCAAGATAGGCCATTCTTGTGGAAAAGCCACTGGAAATCATTTGGGTGGGCTCACAGTTGGGTGGAGCGTGGTCTCGGAATCACAAGGGTGGATGAATAGGGATAGGCTGAGGAGACTCAGGCATGGCTTCTGCCTTCCTGCTCTGAGAGGGAAGGGCTCAGAAATGGAACAATGGCTTCTGCCAGCACTTCTGTCTGGTAGAAGGCCGCCCTTCCAGCTCTAACCCTGAGACAGACAGTTCAATTTCTTCCTGTATGTCCATGGTGCCTTTCAAGATGCTGCCCCAGCACTAGAGCTCAGAGGCAGTGAGTCCGAGTAAGTCTGTGTGCAGGCCCTTTAAGAGGAACTGCCTGGAACTCTAGAGCCCTCCTCACTCAGCCACAATCCCTGCTTGTTTTTACAGTCACAAGTTATGGGGATGTCTCTTCCTGACACTGGAACCTTGGTGCAGGTAATTTGGTGTGAGGCTGGGACCCCTTGCTCCACATGGGTCCCAGCTGAGATATCCCTCCCAATTTTTACCCACCACACATGGGTGTGGGACCAGCTTGTTCTGCATCTCCACCCCTTATACCAGTCATGTGTCTCCTTCTTTATGTATGTATCCTTAGTTGTGAGATTTCTGTTCAGCTAGATTTCAGGTGGTTCTGAGTGATGGTTTTTCTATAGGTTACTTATAATTTTGATGTGGTTATGGGAGGATTCGAGAACTATATTTACCTATGCCACTATCTTGACTGGAAATACAGACTTTCAATAACACCTTACACAGAGACAATCACATTTGACTAGTAGAGTTTAGTGACTTTAAAAAATTAACATGCTGTCACAAGCACTGGAGTACATTCTATCTGAGTTCATCTCTACTGTGCGGTAGATACCAGAAGGAGTGCTGAGCTATCTCTTTTTAAGCAATTTGTAATGTCCCCAATAAGTTATTGCTATATTGTGCTCTGTGGAACATTAGTTCTGCAGTATATTAACAGGTACTACATAAAAGAGTTTTCCATAGTTAAATAAATTTGGAAAAAATTTAAATAAGCAAAAATAATAAAAATAAAAAATAAAAAATTAAGCTTATCACAGAATTTCTCAGAACCTTTATATACTAATGTTAATTGTGAAGCTCTAAGAACGGTAGATAAAAATACAGCTTTTTAAAAATATTATATGAATTTTGAACTTTGGAAATAGTGTGATCTCTTCTAAAATATGAACATTTAAAAATACAAGATAACTAAACTAGTTTTCACTGAAGTAACTGAGCTAAAAGCACCTATTTAGTCTGCTAATACCCTCCGTGGAACTGTGTAACTGATTATTGTATTTAAAATTTTTTTAAATAAATAAAATCAACTAATCTGGTGTTCTAAAGATATTATCTTAGCAAAATACATTAAGACACCACATATGTGAATTTAAATATTTAGGCAACTTTATTTTCATTACTCTTATTTTAAAGCCAGCATTACCATACATCAGTTAATTTTTTTTTAAAGTCAAGCTAACTTTTAAAAAGAAATCTATCATCTAAAATAAAAGAACAAAATTTACAAGTATGTGAAATAAGCACCTTATTACTCCACAGATATTTGGAAATGAGTACATTTAAGGGCTTTTATTGTTTTGCTTTTTAAATACTAACATTCCCTTCATCCCACACCCTAGTCAAACGTGCTTTTAACTCTGTGAGGCATCTTCAGTCTTTCTTTGTACTCCTTATTCATATCTGCTATCAACTTCTCTTACCTGTCCTCTTACTTCATTTCAGACTTACTCTTACCATCTCTTAAAGGTCTCTGACTCATTTAGCTTTTAGAACCAATAAAGATTCTTCTGCTACTCTGTCACCCAGTCTTACTGATAGCAGCTCCTAACACTTTTGTTCATTTATTTTTTCATATTTTGATTCTTAAATCAGCTTCTTTTCTGTATAGACTTATTTCCCCAATGTAGGCATAGTCTATCAATTTCTTTTAAATCCCAAATTAACTTTTACTAAATAAAAATGGTCTTAAATAAAATAAAACTGCTCTTGTAAAGGTTTACTACATGGCAAGAACAGTTGATGTTACCATTGTAAAGAGAACGCTCTAAAAGTTATCTCCACTGAAATGTTAAGTTAAATCACAACTACACCTAACTCACAACTTCCATGGCAAAAGGAACTGCTGGGGTTGTGACTGAGTTAAGAATCTTGAGAAAGTGAGATTATCTCATTGTTTGGGTGGGTTTAATGTAGTCCCAAGGGTCCTTAGGAGAGGTTAGGCAGGAGAGTCAGAGAGAGAGATTTGAAGATGCTTTGAGACTGGCTTTGACCAGGAAGGGGTCATGAGCCAAGGAATGCAGGAAGCCTCTAGAAGCTGGAAACAGATTCTCCCTTAGAGTCTCCAGAAGGAACCAGCTCTGCCAATAGACAATGAGACTGATTTTAGACTTCTGAACTCCAGCCTGTACGAGAATAAATTTGTGTTGCTTTAAGCTAGTGTTTAAGTTTGCGGTAATTTGTAACAGCTGCAGTAAGAAACTTATACAATAAATTATACCTCAGCAAACCTGACGTTATGAAAAAGAAGATAATGGAATATATTTAGTATAATAGTGAATTAAAGTGTGGTTTGGCTAAAGCAACCATCCTGGGTCAGAGACAGGATTATGACATTTGCTTACTATGTAATCTCAGACATGTTAATTTACTTTTTGGAGTATTTTATCATCTGTAAAATATTTCCAATAATACCTCCTAGAAATTATTGCACATATTCAAAGATAAAACTTATATAAAACACTTAGCTCATTCCTAACACTTCATACACTTTCAATAAATGGTAACTATTATTTTATAAAAAGTATCTAAATTACTGAGTATGATGGGAAATTTTTATGTTAGAATATGTCACAAATACAATAGATTTCTTCAGTAACATCCAAGCATTACTGTGGTGGCTATATATATATATATGGAAGAAATCCAAATAATCATTTTTCTAGAATGAATATGTAATATATATATGGAATATATATGCAATAATATGTATTTTTTGTATGTAAAAATTATTTTCTGAGAATAGTTGCAGGTTATTGCTTTTAACTATTGGATTATAACAAGTGTCTGAGATATGTTCCATCCGTTAAGCAAAACAGCTCCTAAATCTAAATATATATTTGTATATAACAAACATCTGTCTGACCTGATTTTCAGACTCTTTTTGGAGATCTATGTAAGGAACTGGATCATTGCATGTTCTTGCATTTGTATCAATGAATTTAGCATAAGATGTGCGTCCTCTTCTGACACGTGGTTTTGATTGTGGTGTACTTTTTTCAGGGTCTTTTTCATGTTTGAATTCTTTTTTTTCAGTCACATATACTATGCCAGCATCTCCTATTTTATGCTGTCTGAAAAACAGAATTAAATAGTAAATTATCCCATTAAGCATTTCCGCACTGAGAGAATCACAATTCCATAGGGTATCTTCTTGCTTTAAGTCATCTGAGATAAAGGGATTTGTGTTAATAATGATTACTCAGTACAGGATACCAGTGCGGTGTACCGACTCATTTGCTTGGAGTAAAGCAGTAGTGAATTGATCGTGCTTACAAATCATGCTCACCTGGCAAACTTGTAAAAGCTACCAAATGACCACTATTATTTATCAAGAAAAGACCACTATGCATGTGTCAGAACAATTCAATATCTTATCACTTTATGCTTCTAATAACTATACTAGTACAAAAAATGAAAGTCAATGAATTCTTTATTAAAGAAATGAAGGGAGGGAGGTGGGGGACGGGCAGGGAAAGTGGTGGCAAAGGTGGAGACAAATGTATTTGAACAAAAAATAAAATTAAAAAATATTAAAGAAATGTTTAGAAAGAGATAGTTTATGAAATTTTTCTCCTTTTAAATAAGAAGTAATAGAAATTATAAATGGGAGTGTTTTAAATGTCATATACTTGAAAAAGAAAGGTAAGAATGAAATATATAAATCAGAATACTTTTACATAGAAGCTTTTAAAATCAAAGCCCATGGAAGGTGAGTGAATACAAGACAAATTTATAGAGAAAGTGAATAATTTTGTTTAGCCATATGCATGGCCCTTAAAATGTAACCCCTACCTTACTTCAAAGCCAAGTCTGTCTCCCTTACCAAGTCCTTCTTCAATTAAAACACTTAAATGGCTTCCCATTGCATTTACAATACTGCCTTCTTATCATAGTGTGACCTGGTCCAGCTAATGTCTGCAGTTGCACTCAAGCCTCTCTCCCCTCACTTCTCGGGCCTCCCCCGCCCCTTCCTTTAGCACCAGTCTCTTTCCACTCAGGTATTTGTACATTTGCTTTCCTTCTACCTGGACTGGCTCATTCCCAGTGCCCTGCACAGCTCGCTCACTAACACTGATGTCTCAGCTTGAAAGTCATCTGAGGCTTTTCCTAGGTTTCCCCTTCCTGACTCCATGTAGCCTCCATTGTAGTATTTCCTTCATAACACCACAATTAATAATTGTGTACCTAATTTCTGTTCACTTGTGTTTGGTAAGCACTACAAATAACTTTTACTAATCAATAAGGTCCATGAAGGTGAAGATTGTATTTCATTCATCATTAGGTACCCCCCCATCCAGACATTATGTATTTGTATCTGGAGCCATTATAGTATTTACTATTACTAATGAGTCTCCAGGAATTGTTTTTACTCTGGCTTTGTTTTAGCTGTGCACTCCCAGCCCTCACTCTGACACACAAACAACATTCAGTACCGTTGGATTCTAGTTCCCTGCGTCCCAACAAAAATTGCTTTCTGTGAAGGATTTGGAAAAACTGGTTACTGGTAAAGTGTATAGAACTTCTAAGGCTGTTTCTATTACCTTTCCAGTGATATAAGTCTTTATTTAAAGGTTGTGATTTGGTTGATCACTGTTAGCTGAATCACAAATGCTTCTCACAGCTAAAACCAGCAATATGCTTGTACAGAAATCAGATCCTTGGAGGACAGGACTGTGGTATTTGTTTGCATATGTAAGCACTCATCAATTGAGTACTCGTGGTATGTAACTATACATAAATGCGACATATATGATTGCATAGTAATCTTTTACGAGAAGGAAAAGACAGTTAAAACACTAAGGGCTCAAAGTAAATCAGATCTGGGGTGGAATCCCAGCTCTGCCATTTACCTTTTGAGCCTTGGTTTCCTCATTTGTAGAATAAGGACAATAACACCTATTGCAAGAGATGTAAGAATAACATTGAATAATTGATTCCTTCAACAAATATTTATTGAGTTATGAGTTTTGAGGCACTGAAGAGACAGGAGTGATCAAACAAAAATTCCTGCCTTCAAAGAGTTTACATTCTAGTGGGGAAAGCAGGTAAGAAATAATAAGTAAAGCATATATGCAGGCTTACCTTGGAGATAGTGCTGGTTTGGTTACAGAGCACCACAATAAAGCAACTATTGCAATAAAACAAGTATCTCAATAAAGCAAGTGTAATCTTTTTTGCTGGTGGATGGTCTTGCCTTCAATCTGTAAGAAAGGCTGCATCTGTGGAGCTCAATAACGCGGAGCAGAACGAACCGAGGTATGCCTGTTCTGTTAGATGGTGTCAAGTGCTGAGGACGGCGAGAAAGCAGGGGATTGGGGGAAAAAACATGCATGGATGGGGAGGTAGGTTGCATTTTAAGATATTGTGGAGGCCGCATTATGAAGGCGACGACTGAAAATGACAGGAAAGCAGGAAGCGAGCTAAATGGATACTGAGGGCAGAGAGTCACAGCAGAATGTACTGTAACTGCCGGAGTTCTGCAGCAGAAGCGTACCTGTGCTCAGAACAGCGCCTCTCGAAGTGTGGTCCTTGGAGTAGCAACTCTGGCATCAACTGTCAGCTTGTTAGAAATATAATTCATAGGTCCCATCCCAACCTACTAAAACATAATCTCTGGGACAGATTCCCAGGAAACTGTTGTAGCCAGCTCTGTAGGTGATTCTTATATGTGTGTGGACCACTGTCGTAGTTACAAAAATACAGGCTTTGGAAGCAGTTACTACCAGCTCCACGTCATAACAAGCTTGATTCAATTGTTCTTAAAATTTAGGGTCCATCAGCATCATCTGGAAGCCACCATCAAACCCAGATTATTGTGCCCTGTCCTCGGTTTGTGATTTGGCAGGTCAGTGCTGAGTAGCTTGCAAGAAGTGCATGGCCAGGAAGTTACCAGGTGATGCTGGTCTGGGGCCACACCCTGAGAATCACTGCAGGTGACAGCAAGGCGGCCTGTGTGCTGGTGCAGAGTGGAGTCAGAGGGCAAGTGGTAGCTAAGGCCAAGTAAGGGGAAAGGGGCACGTAGTGTAGGCCCCATAAGCCATTGTCAGAGCCTTAGCTTTTACTCTGCAGTAGCCAATGGTCAGTAGTGATCTGTGTTGTAAAAAGACCACTCTGAGTGCGGTGTTGAGAAGCTGCAGAGAAACAAGGAAAGTAAGCAGCAAAGGCTTTTGAAGTCTGCAGGTAAGAAACGCTGGTACTCGGACCAGGGTGGGGACAGTAGTGTACAGCATTAACCGTGGTGGATTCTGGATAAAATAAAAGGTAAAGCCTACAGAATTTGCTAACAAATTAGATGTGTTGTGCGAGAAGAAATGGACCATTCAAGATGACCAAAAATTTTAGGCCAGACAATGCCTGTGAATTACCTGCAATACAGTAGGTGCTCAGTGAACACTATGTTTTAAAAAGTCTTACTGTCAGTGCTCAACTAATATAAATGAAAGGGAGGTGGGGGATTGGAAGAAGAAAAGCCCTGATGGCCTGAAGACCCACCCATCGGATATCACTTAAGCTTCTCCCAAGAAAAATACTTTTTTGGAAGGAGAGCTAGAAAACCAAATCCCAGCACTTACTGCTGTTTATCATCCTTTACCTCCATGGGCTCCTAAGACCTGGCACAAGGCAGCGAGGAGCCTCAAGGATAATCAGGGACTAAGCACTGCCAGGAAAAGGGCGCCCGAAGAGCCACGATTGTGACTCAAGCGTTGCTAAGCGACAGCGGCCCCCTGGAGCGTGTCCTCGGCAAGCAGCTTGGGGGCGGGACCGGAGCACGCAGGCGCAGTAACCGGCTCTGGCTCCGAGGATTGCTGGCTGGCTTGTGCTGCGCTGGCCGAGCGGCGGGCGGGGGCGGCTGACCGGATCTCTCGGCTTGCTTCCCAGACCTACCCCAAGCTGGACACCCTGCGTTTGAACTTGACCTTCCTGCTATCTGGACGGGAAGGGTATTTATCAGGGCCCACCCCATCCTTGGGGATCAGTGAGGGGCCATTCTGGAGCCTCCCTGTGGCCCTCACCCTTAGCACCTGGGGGCAGAGCTGCTAGTGTCCCTGTCCCCGCAGCACCCGCACACTAGAGCCTGGCAGGACGTCGCCCCGGCACTGCCCGCAGCTGCGAGAGCTGGCTGCAAAAGTGCAAGCAGGCAGGAGAGAAACTTGTTTTCCAGTGAATCATTAAGCACTGTGCAAGTCATGATTCGCTGCTCCTGGGGGGCCTAGACTTAGCAGGCGAATACTTGGGCTGTCACAGTTCAAGATTTCCGACAAACCCTCCTTCCGCGGCCCTGCGGCAAGCATTAAAATAGAGCAAGGGAACACTCAGGTCTTGCAAATGAGGCTCCCCGTGGTGTGTGCATCTGCTCCAGCCCGAGCCGGGTTCAGAATCTGGCCGAGGGAATTGGAGGATATGGGGCTCTGGCAGAGGGTTGGGGCTTGTTCGTGCAGCATTTAACCAAAAGAGAAAGCTCGGGGGAAAAGCAGTTGATGACTTGCGTCCACCTTCTGGTCCTGGAATTTCTTACCTCATTTCACCATTGCCTCCCCATTTCCACTACCTGAGCCAAAAGTCTTTGGCATCAACTCATGCATTTCCCTGGATAATGGGAGAAGAAAAATCCATATTGAGTTGAATTCTGCTATGTGTGGGCTATATGTGTGCTTATGTTTTGTAACCCAGAGTCAGTATTAGTACGTCTTTACATTCACATTGACGAAATTTGGGAGAGTGAAGGTTGGTCCTAGGACTCATTGTACATAAGTAAGAAGTCCTATGAGGAAGAAGAGTATATGAATAGAAGTTTGATACCTAATTACCTGTACCCCTGAGCTGGTAAAAAGACTGGAATGTGTGTGAATATGTGCTTATGTATATGGGCGTTTGGGAGATAAGGAGAGAGTGAGTGAATAAATATGAAGATTGTCTTAAACACCACATGCAATTTCCCTGGGGGATTGGTTCCAGAACCTCCACAGATATGAAAGTCTGAGGGTATTCAAGTAAGTCCCTTATATAACATGGCATCGTATCTGCAGGTGACCTTGCACATCCTCCCATATGCTTAAAATCACTTCTAGATTACTTACAATACCTAATACAAGGTAAATGTTATGTAAGTAGTTGTTATTCTGTAATGTTTAGAAAATAATGACAAGAAGAAGGCTACATGTTTGGTATAGATGCAACCAGCATGGCCCAGCTACATAGTGCACATTACCAAAAACTTTTTTTTCCAAATATTTTTTATCTGCAGTTGGTTGGATTCTGGGATGAGAAACCTGGGAAGACAGAGAGGGCTGACTCTACTTAGCCAGTTTTATACTAACCATTATACTGTGATTAGGGGCATATGCCTTGGGAGCAGTTAGTGTTTCAGTCCTGGCTCTACCAATGAGGAGCTGGTTCACTTGGCCAATGATCTAGCCTCTGTGAGCCTCATTTCCTTCATCCACAAAATGGGAAAAGTCCCTGGGGTGGTTGTGAGGTGCAGACGGTTTGGTACAGGCAGAGTACTAGCAGGAGTGCCAGACACCTAGTAACTCCTTGGTCGTTATTAGCTACTCTATTGAGCAATTTGGTCTGCATGTTTTACCACGTCTTAAAGCTTAATAAACAGTCTCATCATTCCCTTTAATTTTATTCCATCCTTTACCAATCTCTCCAAGCTCCTAAAACCACTCACCATCAGGGACAATCCTGTGTGCTTGATAAGAAGAAAGGAGGACTTTTCTCAACTCTCTCCCTTTTAAAACAAATTCACCTGCAGCCATACGGAATGATAGATGTTCACTTCTATTTTGAGTCATGGAGTATTAGCCTAAAATGTAAATATATTTATGTCAATCTCATTCCAACTAAGAAGCAGTTCATATATGTGCATATTTATTAAGGGATATAAGAAACATTGAAAAAATTGTGCCTATTACAATTGTGACCATAAAGAAGTCACAAATTAGACATGGATACAAGACAGACATACAGGAAAAACTTCTGAGTAGCAATGATGCATAACAGCATTATATAACTAATAGTCACAAGTATTAAATTTCAGTAATGATAATGCAGTATTATAAAAATGAGCCAACTATTTATTATTGGTACATCCTCTGCAAAATAATGTAGATTTAAAAATAATTACTGGCTTTTTAATGTATTGACTAGAAAAAGCCCTGGACTACTATTAGTTTTTCCCACTACTGGCTGGCTGTTCTAACCTAGGAGAGATGTTTCAACCTCTCTGTTGTCGACTCTAACTTGTAAAAAGAAGTAGCCAGATTAGATCATCTTTATGATCACTTTCAACTGTAAAATACATTGATTCTACTGGAAAATTTATAACTGAAAACCATTGAACACACTACCCTAAATAATACATGCAATTTTCTCATTTGTGTTAGGTAATTTGGATTCTTGTTGGCAAAGAGTAATTCAAAATACAATAGTTTACTAATATTGTGCAAGTTAAAAATACTGGTGCTATTTGAGCTAGAACATCATATGTAAGGAAATACAATAGGATGGAAATTGCTCATTGAAAATGTTATAGATACAGAAAATTGTCACCACTTTATATCTGAACTATAGGAAAATGCCAAAAAGAATGAGTGGCCCAGCCACCTGAATGGCTAGGAAAGCTGAGGCCCAGAAGATCCAGCTTCTCCTCAGTCAGTCCTTCAGTGATGTACTTGTGGTACAGGTGAGGATCTCAAGAATTTAGCATACACCAAAACTATCTTTAATTTATATTTTTAAAAAAATGGTTTATTTGCTCAATGTATTATAAGGTTTAAATGAGAAAATACATGCAGGAAACTTATCCTGCACATAGTAAGCACTCCTTAAGAGTTGGCTGTTAGTATTCTTCCTGTTATAATTAGTACAGTAAAAGTTCAAGTACATAGATTACCTTATTTTATTGCCTTAGATTATAAAAATTTTTTCAAACTAAAATATACATTAGAGGGCATTGAAAAATGTTAGTGTTAGATTTGCCTATCTTTGAAGATGGATAGGTTCAAAAGAATTACAGATATAAAGGGACCCCAAATTTTCTTCTGGGTTCAAAGTTGAGTGATTTATATCACAGTTTTAAGAGACAGGGACATTACAAAATAAATAAGCATGAGGTTTTGTACCTCCTAAAAGGTAAAAGTCTCTAGTATAAATCATACAGACCACTTCTGCTATATGTGATCCTGGATAGTATATTTACATTTGTTCATATAGATATATAAACAAATTTTTTTAATTTCATGAAATCTTTTGAGATAACTAATGCAATTAATGTCAGCCTGGCTTACTCCAAAATCATTGTTAGAAATCTCTAGTTTTGAAATTCACCTGATTGAAGGAAGAAGCTTATACTTTATGAATTTGGAGAGTTCTAGCCACCTCTATAATTTCATGATACATCTTGAAATATAAAGTTCATCTTGAAATAACCCAATTATGATCACCTGTATAGAAGCCATATAACCAAAGGATGAATGAAAAGTTGGTTTTAGGTGGTGAGAACAGTGCAGGGCCATTTTGGTACTATGGTGGTGTCTTCAATAGGGTGCTCATGTAGTAAAGATTGGTTAAATGAATAGCTACGGGCATATAGTTTTTTGAGGAAGGAACACTGCACAATGAAAAATGGTTGGAGTGTTACCATTCTCAAAAGGTTAGGAGTCACTAGTTTAATCTATCAAGTTTTCATGGTTTTATCTTCTAGCAACTTTTTAACACTATTTTCCTTGTTAATTAGAATTCCAGATCTATGTGATCATCTTCCTTGCAGGCCATTAGCACAACTTATTATCCAATTACTTAGAAATCCAACATGAGCATCTTGTCTGCTCTGGCCTATTCTCACTGGACCATGAGATTTTTTGTTTATTCATTTGAGATCCTTAGCACCTAGAAAAGCACCTTACGTATAATAGGCCCTTTTAATGAGGTTGACCTAGAAAGATTCTTCCTTATTTCCTACAAAATACATACAACTTTTAATTTTTAAATGTTTTTATGGACATAGGCAATAATCACTCAACAAATTCCTTAGAGAATCTCCACAGTTTAAAAGTGGTAATTAAAACTTCCTTTTAAGCTAAGCAATTAAGTTCTTCAGCTTTTGCTCATAAAATCTACCTTTGATCACTTTGATGCTACAAATGGCCATTTCTGTACTTTCTCTAAGGGCAGGAGAACTTAGTATTTATTGAATTTGTGAGTTAGACTTGAGTTTACATCCTAGCTCTATTATTAAAGCTCTGAGACTCTGGGCACGTTATTTATATTCTTGGAGCTTTAGATTTTGAATATGTTCCTTGTTAAGCTTTAAAAAAATAAATGAATAAGACTCCATAAGAGTAGGGATAAAGGAACTTACCTTGTAGGGTTGTTGTAATAAATACATGTGTAAAGCACCAGACATAAAATGGGCACTCAATAAGTATTATTTCCACAATGCTGTCCCAACCTTACGTATTGTCAAAGCACCCAGCCAGAGTGGGGTACAGCTAGGATTTGTTTGTAGCTCCATTTCCCTTTTTATAGACTTCATTGCCTCTACATCTACTTTCTCTACCTCTTTAAACCATGGCAGTTTAAAAATTGAATGTA